CATGGAAACCAAGTTTCCCCACAGAGCAACACTTGACCCCAAACTCACTTTTCTTTATGCTGTGGCTGTTTCACATCCTTTGGCTTAAACCTCCTGAACTCATCACAGTCATAGAGGGTCAAGTTCATATGTTTGTCAAAAGTCTTAAACGTACCAATGAAGATCCGGCCATCTTGCAGGATACACTCTATCCTATGGTCAGTGTGCTGCAGCATCTTGCTGCTCCTTCCCACAGTCATGATTGCTATTCCACCAAATCCAGTGCCCACAGGAAAGATCTGGGATCCTTAAGACCCAAGAGAAGGCAGTTTTGTTTATTTCTTTTGGAATCAGCCACCCAGGTGTTCCAGTACTGCTCTAACCATTTCTTGGTGTCTCAGTTAAGAATGCTCATTTCAATTCTGTCTGGAAATCAACCACAGGTACTTGCTGCTGCTGCTATTGCCTCAGGTACAGGTGATACTCCTGGTTGCTCAGTGAGGCTGTCCTACATTTGACTTAACTTCCACCTTCAGTATGTGCTTTTCCATAGTCCATCTTAGGTGTAAATGGTCCCTGGCTTGCACCATCACACCACTAGCTACTCCTCAGAACAGAACATCTCCGACTGCTACTCCACTCTGCCTGGGCATCCTTATCTTGTTCTTGATCTTAGGAGGAAAGCTTTTAGTCTTTTAGCATTAAGTATGGTGTTAGCTGGGCCTTCCCAGGTGGCACTAGTGATGAAGAACCCGCCTGCCAATGCAGAAGTCCTAAGAGATGCAAGTTTGATCCCTGGGTCAGGAAGATTCCCTGGAGGAAGGCATGGCAACCCACTCCAGTATTCTTGCCTGGAGAATCCCACAAACAGAGGAGCCTGGTGGGCTAAAGTCCATAGGGTTGCACAGAGTCGGACATGACTGAAGCAACATAGCATGCACACATGCATGATGTTAGCTGTGGGTTTCCATAAATGTCCTTTATAAAGTTGAGGAAGTTCTATTCTTATTCCTCTCCTGTACTTATTTCTATTCGTCTATTCCTTTTTTTTTTTTTGAGTGCTTTCATCATGAAAATGTGTTTGATTTTATTAAATGCTTTTTGTGACAAGTGAAATAATGGGGTTTTTTCTTTGTTCTATTCATGTGATATGTTATATTGGTTGATTTTCTTAATATTGAAGCGCCCTTGCATTCCTGAGATAAATACCTCTTGGTGGTATATAAATCCCCTTTTCTATGATATTGCATTTAGTTTTCTAGTATTTTGTGAGGATTTTTCATCTGTATTTTTAAAAGATATTTTTCTGTAATATTCTTTTCTTGGGGGATCTTTGTCTGGCTTTGGTATCAAGGTTATCTTGGGAGGATTGCTCTTTAAATTTTTGGCAGAAGTCACCAATGAAACTATCTGACCCTGGACTTTTCTTTGTTGGGAGTTTTTTGTTTTTTAGTACACTTTGTTAGAGCAGTTTTAGGTTCATAGTGAAACTGAGCAGAAAGTACAGACTTCCCATGTAACTCCAGCTTCCTCCCTCGCTAAAACCTCCCCTAGCATTAACATCTCTCACAAGGTGGTTCATTTGTTGCCATTAATGAACCTACATTTACACATCACTATCAAGAGAGTCCCTTGGACTGCAAGATCCGACCAGTTCATCCTGAAGGAGATCAGTCCTGGGTGTTGATTGGAAGGACTGATGCTGAAGCTGAAACTGCAGTACTTTGGCCACCTCATGCGAAGAGTTGACTCATTGGAAAAAGCCCTGATGCTGGGAGGGATTGGGGGGCAGGAGGAGAAGGGGATAACAGAGGATGAGATGGTTGGATGGCATCACCAACTCTATGGACATGGGTTTGAGTAAACTCCGGGAGTTGGTGATGGACAGGGAGGCCTGGCGTGCTGCAATTCATGGGGTCGCAAAGAGTAGGACACGACTGAGCGACTGAACTGAACTGACTGATCATCCAACATCCATAGCTCTTGGTGTTGGGAGGTTTTTGACTACTGATATAATCTCTCATTATAAGCCTTTCTCCTGGTGACAGATGGTAAAGAATCCACCTGCAATGCAAAACACCTGGGTTCAATGCCTGGGTTGGGAAGATCCCCTGGAGGAGGACATGGCAACCCACTCGTTTTCTTGCCTGCAGAATTCCCATGGACTGAGGAGCCTGGCGGGCTACAGTCCATAGTGTCTCAAAGAGCTGGATACAACTGAGTGACTAAGCACACCCATACATAAGCCTTTTCATATTTTCCATTTCTCCTTGAGTCAGTTTTGGTAAATTGTGTTTCTAGGAATTTGTCTATTTCCCCCAGGTTAATTGTTGGTATATAATTATTCCTTTATTTAAATGAGATTGCTTATGTCCCCTCACTCATTTCTGAGTTTAGGTATTTGCAACTTTTTTTTGTCACTCTGGCTATAAGTTTGCCAATTTTGTGGACCTTTTCACAGAACCAGCTTTTGATTTCCATTCTATTTTCTCTCCACTCTAATTTCAATTGTCTTCCTTCTGCTAGCTCTGGGTTGTTGGCTTTCCTTTTTCTAGTTCCTTAAGGTATAGTATTTAGGTTGTTAATATGAAGTCTGTTTTTTTTTTCTTGGTTTAGCTCAATTAACTGTTATCGAGCTATTATTATTACTGACACTTTTTAACCAATAGTTGCATAGTGTGCCACTTGTTTGTGGTTACCAGAGTATATGTATAGAATTTATTTTTATTGTGGTAAAATATATATAACCTAAGATTTATCATTTGACCATTTTTAAAAATGTATAGTTCAGTGTCATTAAGTACGTTCATATGTTGTTCAACCATTACCCCTTTGTGTTCACCACTTTTTATCCTCCCAAACTGAAACTCTGTACCTGACAAACAAAAGCTCTCCATGCTGCTTTCCCTTAACCCTAGGTAACCACTATTCTACTTGCTATTTCTATTAATCATTTCAGGTACCTCATGTAAGTAGAATCATACATTATTTGTCCTTCTGTGTCAGATCTCAACATGGAGTTTTAAAGGTTCATCTATGCTGTAGCATCAGAATTTACTCCTTCTAAGCTGAATAATATTCCAATGCATGGGTATACCGCATTTTGTTTATGTATTCATCCATCAAAGGACACGTGTTACTATCTGTTGGCTATTGTGAATAATGCTGCTATGAACATTGATATACAAATATCCTTTTGAGTCCCTGCTTTCAATTCTTCTGCATATCTACTTCGAGGTGGAATTGCTGGGTCATACGGCAGTTGTATGCATACCTACCAGCAATGCACAAGGGTTCCAGTTTCTCCACATCTTTGCCAACACTTGTTATTTTGCTTTATTGGTAGTAGCCATTCTGGTTGAAGTGATAGCAATTTGAATTTACTTAATAATTAGTGATGCTGAGCATCTTTTGATGTGCTTATTGGCCATTTGTGTATCTCTTTTGGAGAAATGTCTATTACTTTGTCCATTTTTTTTAAACTGGATTTTTTTTTTCAGTTGATTTACAGCCCTTCATTTAGTCTCATCAATAGACCCTTGATACATGACTTGTGTGAATATTTTCCTTCATTTTGCAGGATCCCTTTTCATTTTGTTGAGTGTTTCTTTTGCTATGCAGAAAGTTTTTAAGTTTGATGAGGTTTAATTCATCCATTTTTTTCTTTTGTTGCCTGTACTTCTGGTGTCATAGCCAAGAAATTATTGCCAAATCCACTGTCATGAAGCTTTTCCTCTATGTTTTCTTCTAAGTTTTATGCTCTGTAAACTTAAAAGAAAGACTGAAGAATAAGTTGTAAATAGTATAAGCTAGATGAAGACTTGAATTGAAGCACATCATTCTGGAGGGGAAAAAAGTCAATATTCAAACTAAAGCAGGTAAAGAAATTTATTGCCACCCACTTGAAACTACAACTCAGATGAATCAGACCAAAAAAAAAAATCATTAAGGTGACATTAAAATATACTGTTACTTGATCAGATTTGTCTTTTGAGGATTTCTTTACTGATAGGTAAAGAAACCAATTAGGGTAATTTGTTATAAACATTTTTGTGGACATTTTTACAGGCCTCTAAAAAGGTGTTTTATGATGGCCCATCATAAATAAATAATAACACATTACATAATAAAAATCAATTAATGAATTGCATTTTTGAGCTTGAGCGATGTTCTCCAAAGATCTTACTTTCTCTGCCATATTTCATAAGTATCAAATTGGACATTCCTATTGTGCTACAATTGCCAAACTGAGCTCAATAGTTAACTTTCTTCTGTAGATCAGTTATATCCATTTAAAATACAGAATCCCCTGCATAAAACCAAAATAAGAACAATGATTTTGCTCAAGCATTTGTTAATGTGGTTGTAAAATATTTAAATTTTAACATTTAGCATTTATTTTTAAAATAGTTCCTCCACCTATGTTATTTCCGTAAGACTCTTTTGTACTCTGCTCCAAAATCACCAAAAAGAGAAAGGACTCCTACCCCATTCCCTCCCTAACCCTTGCAGCTACTTTTGTGTTAGAGTGAGGGTCAGAAAACTTTTTCTGTAAAGAGTCAGATAATAAATATTTTAGGCTTTGCTAATTATATAAACCCTGTTGTATGTACTCAATTCTGCTGCTGTAGCAGAACCATAGACAACAGTAAATGAATGGGTATGGCTGCATATGACCCAAGGCTATAGTCTGCCAATCTTATGTAAAATATATAGCAAGATAAATAATAAATTAGGGCCTGAAAGAAAGGTAGAGAATCTAGTCCTTTAGGAAAACCATCCTAACATGCCTGGAAAGTATTGTCTACTGATATATATCTACACAGTTTCATTTTTTTTCTCTACCCTGAGGTATTTATTAAAGGGTAATCTGGAGTCCAGTACATGAAACATCTTTAGGGATATATATTATTTAAATAGAAAGTGATAATACTTCTAGCATCCAAAGACCCCCAGCTCCCAAATAATAATGACTCGGGTAAAAAGCAAGTGCCTGTAGTGTGCCTCCACCATATTGATTGTTAAAGGGCAATAAGTTCTCCCTGGCAGTGATTGCAGCAATTGAAAGTTATATTTTCATATCTTGTATAGGGATGAAATCGTCCAATATTTTTCTTTGTAGCAAGTAAGGTGGTTGGTGAAGACTCAGAAAATGGATTATCAGGTGAGCTTTCTGTACATGTAACTGGATCCAAAATGCGTAGAACCTAAGGAAAATAAAAGGTAATGTCATATACACAGCAATAACCACAAAAGTCCTTGGCTTACTAATATGTAACTACTCATACGTTCTATTTCATTAATATGTAACTACCATAAAAAGTAAGATCTGAATGATGAATTTGACTCGAGAACTTATGCTTTTTCTCAAAAAGCTCCAAATTTAACAATGATGTCTAGTTGTTGTATTACCTAGGTTATCTATTTTTAAAAATAAAGAAATGCTCTCATGCATATTGATGAAAATATATGAAAACACAGAAGAAAATAAATTGATACGGTTACATCAATTTTACCATAAGTGATACTCATTTTTATCCTTAATCAAAATATACTTATTACCTTTCTCCTTCAGGCCTTCATTGAACTGCTTGAAACTGGAATTCTACCTTTATTCTTCTATTGAAATGTATTTCAAAGTTTTTGATCATTTACTTGTCAAATCAATGGCTTTTCATTTCTTTTTTTTCTAATTTACATGCAGTATTTTATGCTAACAGTCATGTTTTTGTTTCTTGGATTCATGGATGTCATACACTCTCAATTCTTCTCCTCTGAATTTTCTATTCCATTTCATTTTCTGAGAGCCACAACTGGAGGAAATCTTGGTTTGAAAGAATTCTCTGGTTAAGGGCAAGGATAGCATGGCTGGCTCATAGTTCCTGTTTCTCATTTTCATATTCTCCTAACCATCATCATGGGGCTTCCCTGGTGGCCTAGCAGTAAAGAATCCGTCTACAATGCAGGAGATGTGGGTTTGATCTCTGGGTCAGGAAGATCCCCTAAAGAAGAAAATGGCAACCTACTCCAGTATTCTTGCCTGGGAAATCTCATGGACAGAGGAGCCTTGGGAGCTACAGTCCACAGGGTCACAAAAGAGTTGGACATAACTTAGCAACTAAACAATGACAACCATCATCATATGATGAGTATGAGTTACTGTGAAAGGAGATTGGCAGTGGGATTAGGAAGGAACTGGGAAAAACAGTGAGGAAAGGAGCTTTCTCTTCTATGTAAGGCTTATTCAAAACAGCTTTCTGAAATGGCTCAAGATGTCTGTTTCCCTAGCTCTCATATTGTCCAACAGGATTTTTTCCTTCTAAGTTATCAATGTACCCAAGGAGCCACAGCTAATTAAAAAATGTCCTGCCATCATTTAACAGCTACCATTCCATTTCCATACCTCTGTTTTTCTACAGGATTATTGCTTCTTCAATTTAGTTTTTGATATTCTTCTGTTTTTATGGAGCTTGGTTAGATGCTAAAGGACAGAGATAAAGGGCTTATCTTAAAGTTGCTTATAAATTGAGAAGGGGAAATAAGAAAGGTACCCCATCCTCTATATTTGTAAGTACATTATGTGTCTTTAGAGAGAAACAAAATGCCAAATGAATACAGTTAAAGGAGACTGAGATACCAATAGGATAAAAGGTTTCCAGATTTTAGCCTGAAAGTGATAAAGATTTTAAGCTGGGTGCCTTTCAGAGAGATCACTCTGTACACAGCCGGTGGATGAGAGAAGGGGTGGGAACCAAAGCAGACAATGGGAATAAGAGAGAAAGAGAGTTTAATGCAATAATTCAGCTAAGAAAGGTTGATCTTGAAGCAATGTGGCTGGAAGGTCTAAGAGACATTGAGGAAGGAGGACTGGCAGCTTTGTTCTGTGAGATAATGTGGTGGATAAAGGACTGTTAGGATGTAAACCAAAACCAAACCCTGAGGCTAGCCACCATTGTCTAGTGAAACAGAATGGTCAGAGAAAAGAGAAAAGTCCGGAGGGTGTAAGGTTACATCAGCCAGGGGAAGAGAGTGTTTCAAGACATCAGAAGTAGTTAATTATACCAGACACTACAGGCAGCAACTGAGTGGGCAGGAACGCAATTCCCACTGGCCCTCCTCCCCCCAAAAAAAAGAATAGAAAAGGAGAAACAATTTTGGATAATGTTCAGTTTCAGGGATTAATTCAATCAGTAAATAGCTGAACACCTACTATGTATAAAGGATTATGCCAGACTTGAGGAAACACAGTGCCCATCTTTAAAGAGCTTACAGTTTGGGAGGTGGAGAATCAAACTGCAATGTAACATGATAAAGAGCTATACTAGATTTATGTACAAGATGAAATGGAAGCCTAGAGGAAGGAAAATCTAGGTTTGCCTGAAGGAATCAGGGAAGGCTGGTTCTTAAAGGCAGTGTAGTGGTTGGGCAAGAAGAGAGATTGTTGGGAGGCCGCCTAGGCAGAGGGAAAGTATGTACAGAGACATGAGATACAGTGGCCCGTCTGTGGAATGAAAGTGGTTAACACAGCTGGGATGTGAAGTGCAGGGGGTGGGCACACCTGGGAAATGATCCAAGGGAAGGGGAGCTGGAATAATGATTGATGAAAGGCCTTCTATACAGTATGAAATAATGCAGATTGAGTAATGAGGGAGACTGGGAGTCCTCTGAACACGAGTACCAAGATGATGGGATGGACGTTTTTGAAATAACACTCAGGCAGCAGAGGATGACCTGGAGGTAAGTAAAAAAGCAAGGGAGGGATACTGGTTAGGAGACTACTGCTGCAGTCTAGCCTGGCAATCAGGTGTCTAAACCTGGGAGAGGCAAATTAGAAGAAACAAATTAGAAGAAACTGACAGGGCTCATAAAAGCAACAGGTTTAGGGGATGAAGGATATAATAATAAAAATGATAGCTACTATTTATTGAGCAATTACTGTACCTATATTGGAAATGGCTACAGGCTTTATGTGTATTATTTTATGGAATCCTCAAAAGATCCAATGTAGTGGGTACAGTTCGCTAAGCTAAGAAATACAGGAGAAGAAACAGGTTATTTTTCTTTTATTTTTTTTTACCCCCCTAGAATGGGAATACAAATACAAAAGCAAGAGGTTGTTCTATTTTTAGCCGTCTATGGGACGAGCTGATGGAGATGTCCAGCTGGGTGTGTGTCTTATTCTAGAAAAAAAAAGTCTCAGCTGAAGAAGTCACAAGCATAAAGCTATGGGGATTAGCTAATGATAGTCCTGAGATGATACAGAAAGTCAGCTACGTGAGGACAGGCTCAAGAGTGGGCATAGGAAGAGGATTCCCCTTCCCCCCACCAAATACTGAGAACGAACAGTCACAGCAATAGCAAAGAGTTGGGAGAGTATGACAGCTTCAGAAACTGAGGGAGCTAAAGTAAAATGTGACAAAGTACTTAAATATTCATGACCTTTATGAGAGTCCTTTTTGAGGACAGTGGAGCTGGAAGTCTACTGAGATAAGCAATGGCAGGAGTTGAGGAAGGGAGGTATGTAAGTAGAAATAAATATGAACTGCTTGTTCCAGATTCTTGGTTGTGAAGGAAAGGTGATAAGACCATATGTAGAGAAATTAAGATAGAGGGAACAGTTTTCTTTTCAGATAGAAGACACTTGGACATGTTCTTAAGCCAAAAGGAAAGAGTCAACAGAAGAAGTACTTGTTAGTGGGAGGCCTGATGAGCCTGGAGGACTATGCTATGCTTTGGAGAGCCAAAGAGACACCTTTTCCAGTAATAGAAATATATGTAAGGATGGAGGCCACATAGCTAGGCTTCGAGATACCAAGCTGGGACCTGGAGGGAGTTTTCTGCCTTTACCCTCTTTTTCTTCTGTGAATGAGGAACCAAAGTCATCTACTGAATCTGAGGTACGAGTTGGATGGGTATAGAAACCAAGAGGGCAAGCAGCTGAACTAAGATAGGAATGGCCATCTTTAAAAACAATTACACTTTTTTTCTCCTCAAAAGTATAGTAATAGAGTTTGAGAAAATTAAGTTCAGAGGAGGAAATAATTTTCTCCAAGATCAACTAGCTCATTAGCATGAGAATCAAGTTTTGATTCCGTATTTCCTAACTCCCAGTGCCAAGCACTTATCATTACAATATGTAAGAGGACAGTCTTAGAGGTTATACAGGTCATGAAAGAGAAATATTTTACCGTTTCAGCCATTTTTTCTGCTGGAGTACTGCAGAATTCAACTGTTGATGGAACCTTTTTTTGACCATTAGTGCCAACATTTCCCAGAAGATGAGAATTTACTGCTTTTGCCAACTTGTGATTTGTTAATGCTAGTTCTGCCGTGCTGTGAGGTTGCCCGCTAGGGTAGTAAGTTTGCTCCCTTCCCCACTGCAAAGAGACCAAGAGCTCCTCCAGCAACCTGCAGCAACACACAGCACTGAACATTAGTAAGAGGACAGAATATAAAAATCAAGAATGCTGAGAAACATGTTTCTGAAATCATATACTTTCTTTCTCTTCTTTTTCTCAAGAGTTCAATAAAGCAGGAAGTCTGGTAAAATAAGTCAGATTACAGAAAGCACTTAAACTGATTTTATGGTCATCTGGAAATCAACAAATAGTACCTTTTTCGTTCTCTTATTTTAGTACAGGTAAAATATAGTCAGGTAGTATTATAGAACTACTTATTTAATTTGTGCATTTATTGGGATGCTTATATGGTATGTGTGTATATATATGTGTATGTGTATGCATGTGTGTGTATATATATGTGTATGTGTATGCATGTGTGTGTATATATATGTGTGTGTTATGTGTGTGCATATATATATATGTATATATATGATAATTTTTTTATATTTCATTGGTTGATTTTTTTTTCCCATTGGTTGATTTTTAAATGATAAACCAACCTATAATTCTTGGGGTAAAACCTCCATGGCCATGATGTATAAAGCTTTTTTATATATTGTTGGATTTGAATCACTAAAATTCTATTAAGGATTTTTGCATCTATATTCATTATAGATAGATATTGGCCTGCAGTTTTCTTGTAATGCCTCTGTATAGTTTTGGTATCAAGATGATGTTGGCCTCATAGAATAAGGTAGAAACTGTTCTTTTATTTTCTAGTAAAGTTTGTATAAATTTGGTTTTATTTCTTCCTTAGATGTTTGTTAGTATTTACCAGTTGATCCATGTAGGCCTGCAGTTTCCTTTATTAGAAGATTTTTAACTACAAAGAAAATTGCTCTAATAGGTCAGGGCTATTCAGGTTATCTGTTCTGAGTATTCTAGTAGTCTGTGTCTTTTAAGTAGATTTTCCATGTAAGCTGTTGAATTGATTGGAAAAGAGTTGTTTATAACATCCCCTATTATCTTATGACTATAGACTCTGTAGTGTACCCCTTTCCTTCTTATGCTGTGTATCTTTCTTTTTTTTCCCCCCTAATTATACTGCCTGGAGGTTTTGTAAATTTATCCTTTCAAAGAACCAGTGTTTGGTTTTCTATTTCATTTATTTCTGCTCTCATCCTTTCTTTCCTACTGCTTAATTTGCTCTTTGTGTTCCTTAAAAAGGAAGCTTAGCTTATTGATGAGACCTTTTTCTCCTTTTCTACAATAAGCATTTAAAGCTATAACTTTATTAATTCCCTCTAAACACTGCTTTAGTTGCCTCCCACAGAATCTGATATTTTGATATATTTGTGTTTTAATTCTTCTAATGTCCCCTATAATTTTCTCTTGACTTTTACTTATTTAATTTGTAAGAAATCAATTATATAGAAGTATAAAGTGCTTTTGAGGAAGACTTTCAATTTTTACAGCTCTGGTGCATATGGACATGAAAGTAAGCTCTCATACTGTAGAACAGTTCTCAAAAAGATCTCCCTCCAAAGTAAAGTCCGGTAACTTTTTGGCTTCTACCAAAATCTATACAAAACTGCTATAATTGTAACCAAAAACTACTTTTAAATGCAAAAATTTCTTCCATTATAGATATAACTAATCTCTCCCCCATTAAGAATATAAGAAGCATGTCTTCTGTTTTTTTCTTTCTTCCTCCTTTCCCTGGGCAGCTATTTTAAAATGCTACTCAAAGTATATGCTCAGTGAGTTAATAAATGTAGAAATACGAAAGAACTATAACAATAACAAAAATTTCAGGAGAAAGTAGAAGGGCTCAGAATGTAAACAAGTGCCATACTTCTGCGTAGCAATCATTTCCTGACGAAACTGTTCCCGTTCACTCAGGAGATCTTGTATAGCGCTCTGTGCATCACGGTTCTGACGCTGCAGAACTGCTCTGGAGTTGGTTAACTCATCTGCCATAACCCTGGAAAAGATCGAAATCTTACATATAAATTCTCAGGCCGTGTTAAAAAGTTAATATACTACCTCTGTGACTGTCAATTTTAAAAAACTTACAAAAAACATTTAGCACTGTCAAATTACTTCAGTTTTTAAACCTTCACTTCAGTTCAGTCACTCAGTTGTGTCTGACTCTTTGTGACCCCATGAACCACAGCACGCCAGGCCTCCCTGTCCATCACCAACTCCCGTAGTCCACCCAAACCCATGTCCATCGAGTCGGTGATGCCATCCAGCCATCTCATCTTCTGTCGTCCCCTTCTCCTCCTGCCCTCAATCCTTCCGAGCATCAGGGTCTTTTCCAATGAGTCAGCTCTTTGCATCAGATGGTCAAAGTACTGGAATTTCAGCTTCAACATCAGTCCTTCCAATGAACACCCAGGACTGATCTCCTTTAGGATGGACTGGTTGGATCTCCTTGCAGCCCAAGGGACTCTCAAGAGTCTTCTACAACACCACAGTTCAAAAGCATAACATTTAAAATGTTTATGAGTTTAGAACTCATTAAAGGGACTCAATTAAAATATGTGTTTACAAAATGACAAAGAAAACAGTGTTTTAACTTTCCTGTATAGTGACTTTGGAATGTACTTCAGTCTTACTCTAGGTTAATCAAGTTTTGGAAGAAAAATAACATTCACTTCAGTTCAGTTCAGTCACTCAGTCGTGTCTGACTCCTTGCGACCCCATGAACCACAGCATGCCAGGCCTCCCTGTCATTGTTCTCAAATAGAGAAAATTTTAGAGAAAAACAAGAGTTATTTTTCTATCACTCGTTACCCTTTTGTCATTAGAAAAATATTAAATATAGAAAGGTTTATGTAAAAGAAAAACAAAGTCTTCTTGTCCAGCAGCCTGGCCCCTCCTCTTATAATCAGTAATCAATAAAGTAACCAATACATTTTTCTAGGAAAAAATAACTTATATGTATAGAAGCATAAAAGTATGTATAAAAATAAATATATTAATTTTATTTACAAAAAGGATTATTTAATACAAACTTTTCTGTAGTTCACTTTTTCATCTAATAATTTACCTTGATGACTTTTTTCATATTAGCATACATAGAGCCATTTCATTCCCTTTTTTGTTTTTTAAAAAAAAAAGCTTCATGTTTTCTGATTGGATGTAGCAAAATGTATTTAACAATTCTCTAGTGATAGAATTGAAGCAAAATTTTAAAGTTTTTATTCAGTTGAAAAATCTTACAACTAAAATTAAAGTCTCAGACCACAGTAACCACTGAGTTCCTTAAAATGAAAACAGTTCTGACGTTAAAAGATTAAATCAACTAAAATATCAATAAAGTTTGGTTTCACTATTATTGCCCTCAAAGTATTACTATTAACATTGAACAGAATGTTTAATAAGTTACATATTGTAGTAATCTGTAAAATGCATGCATGATTTGCTTCTTAAATTGTTCAGTAAAAATTAACATTCATTCTAAGCCAATAAACAGTAAATTCATTTCTCCAAATACATCCTTTATTAGTACAATTAGAAAGCAAATTAAGAATTTTTACAGAGTAATCAATTATTAGAAAGTATCACTGATATTAAGACATGAAGAAATAATTTTCTAAAAATATATTTATTACCATCAGTGGTTCTTAAGGTACAGCCTGGAAACATTTGGTGTTTGTGAGAAACCTTCAGATGATGTTATTAATCAATGTTATTAAACATATTATATGTGAAGCACTGAGCTAAATGCTGAAAATACACAGATGGATAACACCCAGATTCTGTTCTCCAGTAACTCAAAGTTGGAAGGAGGGGATGAATAGAAAATCATAACATATAAGAGACCTTCCCAACTACCAGCGTGTTCATGGGCCTGGGGGTTATAAGGGCCTGAGGTTCTCACCTCTACTGGAGAGGTAGCCTCGACCAGTATGCCATGCAGATTATTATCACTTTCTATTTGCGCATGGAGAGAAAAGGTTGGGAAGCTCTATTATGATGTAGTTAAATAAGCAATAAGAACAGAGTCTGAGAGACAAAATAAGACATTATGGAGTGGCAATGATATGTGAGTTTTTAGAGAGAACGTGGGGAAAAAAATCTTCTTTTAAAAATTTAAATATTTATTAGCTGTCTGAGTTTAGTTTTGTTTTGATCTTAAACATTGTAGTCAGTGATTTCCACTACAGAAGAGTAACTCAGAATTCTGGAATGAGGGAAGTAGCTTTATGCTAGTACTTTTCCATTTAGGCAGACTACATCCAGAGGAGAGCGAGTCCATCTCTTAAATCATGTATGAGTTAATTTTGACAATCTCAGTCAAATTTTCACACTATAATCCAGTCTTTTTTTTGCATTAGAAGGGTCAACAAATCTGACAGAGCAAAAAGTAGGAAATGAGTTACTATTTACTGTATGACCATCCAGAGAAGGGAGAGTCCACCTCTTAAATAATGTATGAGGTAATCTGACAATCTCAGTCAGAAATTTTCACACTACAATCCTTTTTTTTTTTTGCATTAGGAGGGTCAACAAATCTGGCAGAGCAAAAACTAGGAAATAAAATAGAAAATACCTGCTTGCGAGGAATTTACTTCTCCACACATCACACTGTATCGACATCCGTTCTAACTGTTCGGAAAGCTGAGCGATGTTTCGACCCAGGGCTTCATTTTCTAAAATAAGCTGATTTTTCTCACGGGCTACACGTTCAAAGTGATACTGAAGGTCATCACCAACAGAAGCCACCAGCAGCTTTTTTAACTCACGATTGACCTGGAAGAAATCACGACCAATACAAGCTCAAAGTAATGCCAGTGAGTTCATGCCAGTGAGTTCAATGTAGTAAAATGAACAGAAGAGAAACTGCTTCATGTAATTTGGACCTCCATTACAACAAGTACATATCAAAAAGTGGTATCAAATGTTAAGTTTCATAATATATACATACCATGTCTATATATCTTATTAATCTATAGTCCATGCGGTTATAATTTGAGCCTCTTAAGAGTACAAATCATTATCATAAAAATTACAAACTGCCTCTCATCAACACTTAAAGGCAAAAAATTAAAAAACTGAGCCAATAAATTTTGCTAAAAAGTATGACAGTGTTTTATAAATCTTTTTCAACATTTAAAAATTGGTTTCTTTGTGCTGTAGGATTTTTAAGAATTTAAGCAAAGAAAGCAATTCAAGATGTCTAGAATTATGTTCTTCACATTGTTTTTAAAAAAAAACAAAATTAAAACAAATGTCCAATAAAAGGTATTGGTATATGGTATAGTCATTGAAAAACACTGTTGCTATTAATAATGATATTTTAATAGAATATCTTGAGACATGGGAAAATATTAAAACTAAGAAAAGTAAATTACAAGGCAAAAATGAACTCAATATGTATAATTATGCATTTATAGCTGGATGGTATTTATAGGTGATATTATTTTTATTGTTTTTTCTGTATTTTCTGAGATGTTTACAAATAAATATGTACTAGTTTTGTAATTTCAGATTAGTTATTTAAATATATTATTAAATACATTAGAAACATATTTGGATAAGAATCAGTAACCATGGTGTCATTTATAAAGACTAACATCTAGTAGAAAGATGGATAATCTAACAGAAACAAAGTGGGCAATGGTAAGGCAATATTTACTAAGATGGAAACACTAAAAACTATGAACTTTTTTTTAATAGCCTTTAAACTTTACATTTTAGCAAATATTGCCTTACCACTCCTCATGTTGTGCTCTGTTAGTCACCTGATGTGAAGTCAACTCATTGAAAAATACCCTGATGCTGGGAAAGATTGAGGGCAGGAGGAGAAGGGGGCGACAGAGGAAGAGATGGTTGGATGGCATCACCAACTCAATGGACATGAGTTTGCGTAAACTCGGGGAGACAATGAAAGACAGGGAAGCCTGGCGTGTTGCAGTTCATGGGGTTGCAAACAGTTGGACACAGCTTACTGACTGAACTAAGTTTAAAGAAAGTTTAAAGAAAGTGAATCCACCGAGGAAACCAGATCTGAAAGAGACACGTGCACCCCAATGTTCATCGCAGCACTGTTTATAATAGCCAGGACATGGAAGCAACCTAGATGCCCATCAGCAGACGAATGGATGAGGAAGCTGTGGTACATATACACCATGGAATATTACTCAGCCATTAAAAAGAATTCATTTGAATCAGTTCTAATGAGATGGATGAAACTGGAGCCCATTATACAGAGCGAAGTAAGCCAGAAAGATAAAGACCATTACAGTATACTAACACATATATGTGGAATTTAGAAAGATGGTAACGATAACCCTATGTGCAAAACAGAAAAAGAGACTCCTATGTATAGAACAGACTTGTGGACTCTGGGAGAAGGCGAGGGTGGGATGTTTCAAGAGAACAGCATCGAAACACGTATATTATCTAGGGTGAAACAGTTCACCAGCCCAGGTTGGGTGCATGAGACAAGTGCTCGGGCCTGGTGCACTGGGAAGACCCAGAGGGATTGGGTGGAGAGGGAGGTGGGAGGGGGGACCGGGATGGGGAATACATGTAAAAAAAAAAAAAAAAAAGATACACTATGGTTGTGATAAAAAAATAAATAAATAAATTAATTAATTAAAAAAAAATAAAGTGAATCAAGCAATATAGGTAATTTCCAATTTACAATGAAGATACCAATACTTATTCCACAATCTTCTTTATTCTAAGTATTATCTATACATAGAAAAAATACTTGGAATTTATGGATTCTTAAAGCAAGGATTACTAACCAGTCGATTTAGTTAATCTCTGGCCTGTGAGTTCTTAGCTGTAACCTCCTTAATAACTTATAGGTGGTCTTGTACAACGCCCAAAGTACCTCACATTGTTCAAAGTACCTTACATGTCATCTTCAACCATGTTTAGAATATAAGTTCCCAACATAAACTAATTCTAGTAGAGGCACTAGAATGAGAAATTTAAGAGGAAGCTTTTTGGAGTAATGACAAGTTATAATGAACGACATTCCAAGAGAACTATGTTTTATTCTATATTTATAACATTCTGTATGTTCATTCTAACATGCAGGCTTAGAAGGCGCAGGTGTAAAGAGCCACTGTCATTAAAGCTATTCAGGCTGTTCTTACCTCTGACTGTACTCTGAGCTGGTTTGAAAGGCCTTCTTTGTCCTGTAGCAACCTCCTTTCAGAGTTCTTGAGCTTTTCCAATGTATTCTTTACCTCAGACAGTTCTTTTCTGGGTTCTATGACTCCCTCTGGCTGGCCAAGGAGTTCTCCTTTGTGCTGTCCCAGAGACTTAATCTTTGCATTTTTGTAGGGGATATTATGGGTTATAGCAGCTTTGGGAACTAATATTCTTACAGCTTCGACTTCCACGGCTTTTTCAGTCAGAATCTTCCCTAGCTGAAGAACTCCTGGGCTCTCTGATGGGACTGCTTTCTTTCGTGGACTCTGAAGGCTGTGATGTGTTATAGGTTGGATTCCAGGAGTAACTTCAATAGATTTAGGTGGCTCCTCAGTTTCCATTCCATCTCCCGCTCCTCGGATTGGGGATGGAGTAAGGATGACTGTAGGATGGAAAACAAAACAAGCTATTTGCTGTAAAGAAATGCCAGGAAAATGCCAAGATATACTTTACCCTACATTTAGAATTCCTGGCATTGAAAAAAAAAAAGAAAAACTTTAGAATAAAAATTAAATTTCAAAACAATCCTGTGTCAACAAAGAATGAACGAAGTCTTAGAGGTTCAAACCTTCCTTAAGTAAATGGTTTCTCTCTTGGTAGGAACTGCAAGAGATTTGGAATCAAGGTATTTGGTTCCCACTTCTACTTCCTAGTATGCGGTGCTGTGCTGTCGCTTCAGTCGTGTCCAACTCTTTGCGACCCTGTGGACTATAGCCCACCACACTCCTCTGTCCATGGGATTCTCCAAGCAAGAATACTGGAGTGGGCTACCATGCCCTCCTCCAGGGGATCTTCCTGACCCAGGGGTCGAACCCATGTTTCCTGTGTCTCCTGCATTGCAGGCAGATTCCTTACTGCTGAGCCACCGGGAAAGCCCACTTCCTAGAATGATCCTAGGTAAATAATGTAACTCTCTATGAATCTCAAGTTCCTAATCTGAAAAGTGGAGACAGTAACAAATATGTAATAAATATGCTACAAGGCTGTGGTAAGAAAGACTGTAGGAAGATCAAATGCCTGGCACATTGTGGACACTCAATAATCTTAGTTAGATATAAAAATAAATGTAGGCTATGCATATATCTATTTGACAGTGTTTATCTCAGAACAGACTCACCTGTTTGTGAACTCTTAGCAAAGAATGCTTCACAAACTATCCACCTGGACTACTCTCGTAGGCCTCTAATCAGGCGTCTGTTTCTGCTATTTATTCTTTTAGATGGCTTCTTCCACCACTTACTCTGATTCTAATTTATCCCTTTAAGAAGCCAGCTTAAACTCTACTCTGCATTAACATTTCTCAACTTTTAGCCTACACTCTGAATGCCTATGCTACTTACTATCTCAACACTCAGTGTGAATCTTAATCATGATCCATAATTATCATTTATGGGTTTTAGTATATGCTAAATCTCACTTTCCCAATAAATCTGATAAAACACTCTGTGGCCAGGCACCAGGCCCTAAACAAATGGAAGGAGCAGGACATTATAGAAATGCCATGGACTCTGGGATTTGCCAGAGGTGGTTCATAGTCCCATTTCCACCACTGCTTCCTGTATGATCCTGTACAGAACCCTGCAAATTATCTGAGCTTCAGTTTTAGCCTCCATGAAATAGATTTAACAATACATCTAGGGTTACCTGTGTCTTCAACGAAAGAATGGTAAGTAACAAATAACCAACATTTATAAAGACTTAGCACATGCCAAACACTATTCTAAATACTTTGCATATAAGTAATTTATTCTTAAAATCTCCCTTTGAGGTAGGTGTAATTAGCTCTCCTTTACAGATGAAGAAAATGAGGCACAAAGAGGTCCAGGAACTTGCCCACAGTCACACCACCCAGCTAGTAAGTAGAGGATATTGTTGTCGTTGTTATTCAGTCGCTCAGTCATGTCTGATTCTTTGTGACCCCATGGACTGCAGCATGCCAGGCTTCCCTGTCCTTCACTATCTCCTGGAGTTTGCTCAAACTCATGTCCAGGAGTGATGCTATCCAGTGATGCTATCCAACCATCTCATCCTCTGCTGTCCTCTTCTCCTCCTGCCTTCAGTCCTTCCCAGCATTAGGGTCTTTTCCAAGTAGACAATGCAGAATTTAATTCTAGGTAGCCTGGTCCCAAAAATTAGGGCTGTGACTACTGTACACACTGCCCCTTCAAGTGTAGAAGTGTCTTGCACAGAAGTAAATGCAGATAAATGATAGCTCCCATCCCCCTTCCTCTGAAACACTTAATATAATCATGTACATGTCTACTAATTTGCTCAACTGAAATAAATTATCTCCCCTCATATAAGCCAAACCTGACTGCTACTGCTGCTTGCTGCTAAGTCGCATCAGTCGTGTCCGACTCTGTGCGACCCCGTAGACAGCAGCCCACCAGGCTCCTCTGTCCCTGGGATTCTCTAGGCAAGAACACTAGAGTGGGTTGCCATTTCCTTCTCCAATGCGTGAAAGTGAAAAGTGAAAGTGAGGTCGCTCAGTCATGTCCAACTCTTCGTGACCCCATGCACTGTAGCCTACCGGCCCCTCTGTCCATGGGATTTTCCAGGCAGGAGTACTGGAGTGGGTTGCCATGTCCTTCTCCAAAACCTGACTAGTCATCCTTAGTTCAGATAACCTTTGGAAGGCAGCCATGCTCATTACTATACCACCATTGCTCCAGTCAAAGAACAAATAGTTTGTTTCTTTTCTGTTTTACCTTATCTAAAATTAAGCAGTGTAAGAAGTTTCACTGAGTCACCTTTCTCCAAGAAAATGCTAATTTCACTAATTGATTCAAGAAAATAAGTGGTTTAGAGCTTAGAAAGAATTGAGGATCTGTGAGGATAGGAAATGTTGGAAGCCTCGAAGACATGGCTGGAATGATACCTAACTGACATGGAATTCCTGAATTAGTAAATTCACTAACATTCTTGTGAGCAACAAGTGAGATTCCTTGCCATTTTACAAGTCCAGAATACATTTGAGAAAATGGAGGCCAAAACATAGGAATGGTAATGACAATTAGCTTTTATTCACTTTACTATGTGCCAAGGACTCAGTTCTACTAAGTCCTTCAGATCCATCAGTATCATTTTGGGTTTACAAGTCTCATGACAGCACAACAGTACCCATTTTGCAGACAGAAACAGAGCCAATGAAAGGTTAAATAGCTTGTCCAAATCATCAGTGTCAAACTAGGATTTCAGTCCAAATATGAATCCAGAGCTAAGATGTTAATTGGTCTGGGAAAGTGTATTAGTCCCTTGGTCATGTCCAACTCTGTGACCCCATGGACTGTACCTCACTAGGCTCCTCTGTCCATGAAATTCTCTAGGCAAGAATACTGGAATGAGTAGCCATTCCCTTCTCCAGAGGATCTTCCCGACCCAGGGATTGAACCCGGGTCTCCTGCATTGCAGGCAGATTTTTGGGTCTTCCCACAAACCAAAACTATTGCACCTTATCAGCCTAAACTTATTGCCTCTCTTAACAGCCCTGTTAGGTTGCAAAAGCCCACAGAATTTATATAACAGTTATAGCAAGCTTTAAAAAAATGCAGATCTTATCTGCATTGGACCCTTGAATGATTTCCCATCACTCTCAGAATAAAAACCAAGATTCTCACCATGGCCTACCTGGCCCTCGGTGATCTAGTCCCCTGGCACATCTCCTGGGTCTCAGCTTTATGCCATTCACTCCCTCAGATCCTAAGTTCCAGCCTTATTTGTTTTCTTTTAGTGTCTCAATAGGAGGAGACACCTTCCTCTTCCTTTTCAAACATTTCTTATTGGAATATTCTTCCTAACTTCCTCCTCCCTACTCACCTTTTAAATCTCAGTTCAAACTTTCCGAAGGGAAGCCTTTCTCTAGTCTTCCAAGATTATATGCTTCTACAGCAAAGACTATGCCTTTCTTTTTACCATTTATCAAAACAGTTAACTGACATTTTGTTCCGTGTAATTAGAAATATACTGTTTGTGCCTTCCACTGGGATATAAGTTCCATGAGGGCCGGGACTATGTGCCTTGTGTTTACCGTTGTATTCTTGGTAAAATGCCTTATACCTAAGACTCTCTGAGGAACAATTAATGCATGGTAACAAGGGGAAAAGGATGAGCACATGTAATAGTGGTGATAATGATAAACTTCAGAGTTTAGAGAAAGCTAATTAATATGATAAAACATAATTCTGCTTTTTATTCTCTTACGCTAAAGTACTACAAAGTTATATCACCATACTCCAGAACTATTTTTTCATTTAACAGATTTTTGTAGAGTTTTTTGTAAGTATGTAGTAATGGACAGGGAATCCCAAGTTATGTTCATTAGACAAGAGGTAGAATGACATCTGAGCTATAATTAAGGTGTTCTATTTAATAAAATACTTTATAGTGGAATAAAGTATTTGTCATTTCTGTATTAAGTGTTAACTAAGACACTTGGGCTTTAGGACTGATTCTACTTTCAAAAAGATGAAAAAAGGAATACTTCAGAAAGTGAAAGGTTTTGTAGTTAACTCATGCACATTAGCATGGAGGACAATTCCCAAAAATGAACTTTTTTAAAAAAAAAGTCTGGTTTTAAGTTTGTCTAAGTGTATGTAATGCAAATTTAATCTCGTCACTCAGACATTCTGGCATTTAAGAAGTAATATAGAACCACGAATTAACTACAGATGAATAACTTAAAAGACCACAAAAAGACACACTAGAGCTATACCACTCAGGCCCACTGAACCTGAAGAAATAAAATTAAATATGATTTCTAAGCAAGTCATAACATTGTTGAGTTGGAATTTTAGGTACTGAAGATTTAAGAACAAACCATAAAATGGTTAATACTAAATTTAAAAGGCAAAGAAACATTAATGGGTACTTAATAGAAATCTCTTTTCAAACAAAATATGTTATAAAACTCCAATCAAGAAATTAATCAACTTTGTTCAAACTCAGTTTACACTTAACTTTGTTTAAACTGTTCTACTTACTCAGGCATTTGTGGGAACCAAAGCTGTACCGTGTATCACCTGGCCGCTCCCTCTCTGTAACATCTATACTTCCAGCTAATGTGCACAGGCTAGGAGACAGGTTGGGAGCCAAGGCTTTATGTTTTCTCACCTGGTAACTTACTTTCATAATTCTGTTTTTCTGTGACACACACAGAAGCCTTTATTACATATGCACTAGGCCCAACCCAGGGCAATTCTTCAATTATTCATCAATATTAATTTCTACTTGTGATCATTTATCAAAGAATGAAAACATATCTAAGGTTTACAGCTCATTCTTTCTGCCTTTCTCCCAAATTGGTAACATGCAGGGAAAGAACAAATATTCTACAGTAGGGGTTGGCAAATTTTTCCCATAGAGGGTCAGATAATAAATATTTTA